AAAAAAAAATTTCTTTTAAATCTCTATCCCTACTCCCCTCAGTTGTTAATAAAATTAAATCTTTATATGTTTACCAAATATATGTTTACCAGCACTTGGGAGGCTGAGGTAGGAGAATTGCTGTGAACTTAAAACCAACCTACACTACCTAAATTAGTGAGTTTAAAGTCAACCTCAGCTATATAGCAAGACCCTGTCTCAAAACATCAGCCCCCCAAAAAGAAATTTGTTTATAATTATAAATACATTAATCTGTTAAATTATGTAGAAAACAAAAAGTAGAGTTACAGACCAAAATTAGAATGCTACTTGTAGACTAATTGATTCTTTATATAAAAAATTATCTCATAAGTCATGCAGAAAATAGTTACAAACCATTTTTACAATATTAGCTTTTTATTGGTCATGTGTGTGCTATTGTTAAGATCTTATTTTCTCAGGTTTGACTTACTACCTCAATCCTTTCATTTCAATGTGCAGAACTCCCTCTAGGATTTCTGGCAGGACAGATCTCATAATTAACAGCCTCAGCTTTCTTATTATTTTTATAGTTTGTGTGGTGCTAAGGCTCAGACTCAGGGCTTTATGCATAGAATGTGCTCGGCCACTGAGCTATGCTGCTAAATTCTGTGTCAGTTCTTGTCTAAGAGTACCTTTATTTATTCCTTTCATATTTATTTTTATTTATCTTCATTAAGACAGGCTCTTGCTGTATAGTTCAGGCTGGCCTCAAACTCACTATGGAGCCCTGGCTGGCCTCAGACTTGTGGGGATTCTTCTGCCTCAGCCTCCTAAGTATAGGGATTACAGACATGTACCACCAGGCCCAATTGTCCCTCACTTTTATGTGCACACTTCTTTTTTTTTTTTTTTTTTTATTGAACTCAGGCCCTTGTGCTTGCCAAGGAAGCGCTTATTCCACTGAGCTATCTCCCCTGTCCTGTCCTTCACTTTTAAGGGATCCTTTTTTGGGGATTGTTTTTGTTTTTGAGACTGGGTTTTCCTGTATAGTTTAGGCTGGCCTTGACCTGGCAAGGAATCTCTCTGCCTCAAGATGCCATGTTTCTGGGATTACAAACATGTACCTAGCCCATTTACTTACTTCTGTGTGGTTGACTACATGTGAGTTTTGGCGTTATTGCACTTGATCTGCTCAGTGATACTATGAGATAGCCAGGATCCTTCCTCACTCCTGGTCAGGGTCATACAGCTCGTACACAGCACAGTAGCTGGATCCTGTGAGTATTTTCTGACTTTGACACACATTGTACACACTGTTATTTGGCACATTGTGACTTTTAAGCACATTTACAATGAATTAAAATACTTTTTCTGTTCTTTTAAGGCTACGCAGATACAGAGTCCTGGGAAGTAGTAACTCTGACTCAGACCTTTTCTCCCGCCTGGCTCAAATTCTTCAAAATGGATCTCAGAAGCCCCGGAGCATTACTCAGTGCAAGAGCCCAGGATCTCCACACAATCCCAAAACACCACCCAAGAGTCCAGTTGTCCCTCGAAGGAGCCCCAGCGCCTCTCCTCGGAGCTCGTCCTTGCCTCGCACGTCCAGTTCCTCACCATCCAGGGCTGGGCGGCCCCACCATGAGCAGAGGAGTTCATCCCCGCATATGGGGAGAAGCAAGTCCCCGCCTAGCCACTCAGGGTCCTCCTCCTCCAGGAGGTCCTGCCAACAAGAGCACTGCAAACCGAGCAGGAGCAGCCCCAAAGGGTCCGGCAGCCTCCACCACCACCCAGCCAGCTCGAAAGCCACCCCAGGGAAGAGCAAACCAGCCAGTAAACTCAGCAGATAGGAGCCGGGCTCCAGTGCTTCCTCTTGACCCAGTGCATGTGTGTCCCTGTACTGTCTATTTAAAAAAATCAATGTTGCTCTTCCCTTATAAAAGAAAGAAACATGATCAGTTATTTATAAGCAGACCTAATGTATGGTCAGGAACTACCTAAGGCAGATAGCAAGCAAATGGGAATCAATGCCTTGGCATAGGAAGGGACAATTCAGCAAAATTTATGGGGGACAAACTCATAAGTAAGCTGTCATTTATTAGCTACCTTTGAAACAAGAGGGTAGGAGACAGAATGGAATTTTAAGGCGTTCACCTCATTTTCTTAGCATTTCCCTAAAATTATATGCCAAGTGTTTGATATTTTCATTCATACTTTTCCAACCTTGAAGTCATGGCTCAGATACCAGAATAGATAAGAAGCCAGGTGTGGTAGACCTCACCTGTTATGTCAACATTTGGGAGGCTGGGGCAGGAGGATTACTGCAAGTTGGAGACCAGCCAGGACTACACAGTTTCATGCTAGCCTGACCTGCATAGTGAGACCTTGTCTCAAGGAAATAAAAGCAAACAAAAACAACTACCACAAAAAACAGCAATATATAAGAAGCCTGTTGTGAGGGAACCAATACTCATATTTGGTTCATGGAGTTATTTACTGTATTGAGAATCCAAATTTTGCCTCACTCCAAGCACCCTCCTTGGATTTTACATTTTTTTTTTTTTTTTAAGAATTAGTATTTGTATCTCTCCTAGTCTCTCTTATTTTAACCTTTCTTTGGTCCCCTAATTTTCTTTGGAGCAACAGTTCTTAACTCAGTGTATGTTTACTGTAGAAAATAACTGAGAAACTTGGGTAAAGGACAGAAAAGTCTGACTAGCGCTATATTGTAGGTATTATTGTCCAGGGACAGAGGGGGCAGAGCCTTCAAGACTGAGGACCTGTTTGCACTGCATTCTGCTCTTCCAGGCGGTGGGAAAGCCCGGGTACGGGAGCTGCTGCAGCTCTGGCTCCTGGGTCCCAGCGCTTTCTGTTACCAACTCCAAGATGATACTAGGAAAGCACACTGCTTGTGAATATGACTATGCTTTTAGAGATTTAGAAAGAAAAATAGGAAGACTTTAAGTTTGGTACAGAGGCTAATACTTTGTGTTTTAGACATTTAGCCAATAAGGAATGAATATCTGAGGAAATAAATTTAGGCTAAATATTTTTTAATGTTTTATTCTGCTTCTTCTGTGCTTTAGTTCAGTAGTTGGGCTTCTTGACCTGATTTCCACGGAATCTCACTTTATAAAGCTGTACGGGTATCATTTGTTCTAACCTCGCTCTTCCGGTCACAGGAATCAGGCAAAATGAAAGAGTACAGGCTTTGTAAATGGGCTCTTGTATACTCTGTCTGGGTTCTGTGTTGTAAAGACCTTGTGAGGTCAGGTAAACTGGTCAGCCTGCTGTTGAAATTTGCCTTCTAGCAAACATCTGTGCTTTCTATTTGACCTAGTGTTTGCTGCCAAACCTAATATGGTTAAATTAGAAAAGAAAGCAAGCTATTTCCTCATGAAGTGAACATACTGTAATGCTGCATCAAGGCTGCCCTGAAGCTGCGCCGAACTTACCTTGTTCTATTTCAGTGCTGAGCTTTTTAACAAACTCAGAACACTATACTGAGGCATATAAGGTCTCCCATAAGAAATGTAGCATAGTTGGAACCTTATTTTCTCTCTAGTCTCAAGCACTACAGAGGAATGTAGTAGATAAGACATTCTTGCTGTTTATCTAAAGCAACTGTAATATTGGAAGACCAATCCTTCTGTATTATGTTGTACAATAGTTACCATAACACTACTTGCATGTCTTCATGGTAAATTATATAAATATTTATAAATATATAGAGATATGCTTATATAAATTCATTCTTTCTCATTTCCCATTTGTAATTTCAAGGTCACACCTGGTGAAATTCCTTTTTTATTGTGTGCCTCGTGTACACTTGGGCTTTGCCTATCTTTATTTTCTGAAAATATGTTCTTGGCCTATGAGACTTGAGACTCTTTTTGCTTCCCCTGTGTCTAATGCAAGGGTTGGCAGTTTCTAACAAGCCAAGATGGAATATTTAATTTTCACTTTAAAGAGATTTTAATGGGGGAAATTATTGGGACATGCTTGTAATACTAAAATATTTGTCCATGTTAATCACGTAGTTCTGTTCTTACAGTTAGAATAGAGAGATGGGGATTATAACCATGGGTCTGATGGAAAATTATTTTAAAAACATTTCCTAAAAGTTGTCATTCTACTTTGCTCTTTTCTACTTTTTTGGGGGGTGGGTGGGATAGGAGATAAGTAAGACTTACTTTCTTTTTTTCTTGTTGCATTAACTAAATTGTGATAAAAGTAGACAGCTTAAATACTGACCCCACTAGTCAGAAATGTGCTCATAGTAACTGCTGGAAATGCTGACGTCGCTTTCTCTGTGTCATTTGCTGACTGGCATTTCTCTGCTGGTAGTCACAACTGACAGTGGTAGCAACTGATGTTTTCTGTCTTTTTTGGTTCCTTCTATTTTTCTCTCAACCATTCCTCTGTGTTGTGTCCTTTTCTAAGCAGCGTTAACAAATTCATCAAGATCCTGGGATTGGGGCCGGGGAGATGGCTCAGTGGAGTAAGCGCTTCTCTAGCAAGCGCAAGGGTCTGAGTTCAATCCCCGGTTCCACCAAAAAAAACACCCTTAAAGTAGCAAACAAACTTCCTTTCATTATAAAAAAAAAAAAAAAAAAAAAAAAAAGATCCTGAGATAAAAAGCCTCACTGTGTATATTTTATTCTGCATGTAGAAGAAAGAGCTAACCAAAGATGTTTCTGCTCCGACACTTTGAAAACAGACTAATTATAGCTTATGTATAAGTACTGTCCTTATCCTGAGAAATTTACTTTATGATTTGGATGTTAGATGTCTCTCAGGTTATAAAGAGAAGTTGGTAGCTCTCAGCACTTTTGACAAGGATTTTATTTTTATTTAAAGTACTATGTGGAGAACAGAGTTTTTGTTTTTGCTTTTAATTCTTTATTATTTATTTTTTGGTTTTTTAGTGATAGTATAGTTGAGATTTCAGCCACAGATAATCCAAGTAATTTTAAACCTGTTAGATTATTTTACTTCAGATGGAGAAACATGGCCACTAACTAAAATCAAACCATATTACACTAAAATGACTCCTGCTATTTCTTATCACAACAGCAGGGTGGGTTACCAAGTCCCACTTGCCTTTACCTTCTCTCTAGTCTCAGAAATTACTTGGCAAACTTTTTTTTTTTTTTGGTACAGGGATTGAACTCAGGTCCCTGTGCTTGTCAGGAAAGCGCTTATTCTACTGAGCTATCTCCCCAGCCCCAAGTCTCAGAGATGACTTGGGAGGAACAGAAGATAGAGGTAGCAGCAGTTCAAACCACTCACCACACCCTGTGATCCAAGCACTCAGAAGGCTGATGCAGGAGGATTGCTGTGAGTTCGAGACCAACCTGTGCTCTACATAGGAAGTTCAAGGCCAGCCTGAACTGCATAGCAAGTAAAACAAAAACAAGTAGCAGTTCAATCCCTTTTCTTCTGGATTAGGCTGATAGCCCTTTAGGATCTTTGAACTGGTAGAAATACTAAACTCTACCTAGTAATCTTGCATAGCTTAAAGTCATTTGAGTGACTAACGAAGAAAAATGGATCATACCAAATTTAATATGAAAACACATTGTAAATTGTCTGTGAATGTAACCCATAGGCAGGCAGCGCTCTCATTCCCAGCCGCGCGTGCTAGCCATCCTGGCTGACAGTGGCACACGTACTTGATTCCAGATTCTTAAGTTGCACATGTCAAGTGAAGGGCTTCTGTAAAGCTGCCAAGTGAGCGGACCAAGTTGCTGCTCGCGCGCGTGGCTCCCCTGGCAGCTGCGTCGCCAGCCCCTGGAAGCTGAGTTGCTTCGGTTGGCGCAGAGAAGCCTGCCAAGCCCCAGACTCTGGCAGATTTTTTATAGTTGCCCTCTCTCTGCAAGGAAACAGTGTACATTGGTGCATGTTTTATAAACCCAGACACAGAAGCTAAAACTTTTGTTTTTTTCTATACCCAGTAGCTTTGTACTAAAAACATGCTTTTTTCCAAGAGCAGACAGTTTCATATACCTAGTCTAACATTAGGAATTGGTGAGAGAAGAAACAAGATCCAAAATTCAGAATTTTATGGCTTAAGGGGAAAAATGCATCTTGCTCTGGCTATTAGATAACACATTTATCTGTAGATAATGTAGATTTGGCCTTGGAGATCAAAGTGCTTCATAATTTTAAAAACTTCGTTAATTTTTTTTCTATCAAAACATGGCCTTAGAGGATTTCTTCTGTCATGTTCATGCACTGTGAAATTAAGTTGTTTGCATTCAAACTGCCTTTTCTCTGGTTCTGGGCATTTTATATCCAGTGTGTCTCGGTTTTACTTAGGAGAAAAGGTTTAGTAACTGTCACTAAAAAGACAGAAAGGGTTGACACCAACTGCACTGTTGAACTTTTTGAGTTGATTCTATAGACATTATTACTACAATTTAATAGAAAAAGTAGTATAGGGTTAAGGCATGTAACTACTAGGACAGCCCTCTATGTTGGCACACCACAAGTTCAGCAACCACTGGCACCTATTCAGACCTTAACTTAGAGCAGGAACTAGAGGCAGTTCCTACCCTCAGGCCATACTGAAAATACTGCCTGGAAAACCCCAGGGTATTGTCAGAATAGCTCACTTCTAGTGAGTGAGTAAGACTACTGGGTACCATGAGGATGTGTAGTAGCATGGAAGATCACAGTATTAGGCATTCCTCATATTTTGGTTATTCCTCTGAAATTAGAGAAATTTAACCCCAAAAGTCCTGGAGGCTTTTGGAATCTATTGCTCAGCATTGCTAGTGGGAACTGCAGGAGGAATGTTCCTAGGTAACACCAGGACATGCGACAGGGATCCTTGTTCACTTAAGAGGATCTGGATGCTGCACATTTTAATCCCGGAGAAGTCCCCAGCCAGACATGGCTCATTGAGACATTTTGCAACTCAGTTGTGATTTTCTGTTCCTTTTAAAATATGTAAGCTTGCTATTTATTCCTTTTGAGTAAAGTTGGGTCAGAAAATTAAAGTATGTAACAAGGATTGCCTTGAGGTTCCATATAGTGGCAGGATGCTGAGTTGCAAAGACGTGTCATTTATTCAATAATGATCTGCTTTCCTACAGTCACCTGGTTCCTGGGTCTCACAGAGACACGGAACTTGTGCAGCCTGACAGGTTGCTGTCTCCTCTTTAATTGGAAGTGATGCTGGCTTCATCTCCCAGACACCCCGGACTGGAGGTCCTGAGTAAAGAGCAGGACATGTGAGGCAGATCTTTTGAGCCCATGTTCTACAGAATTTGCTAATTTTATACTAACTATGAGTAGAGGATTTACCTCCTTTTAATACTTTAATACCACTTCACATTTTGTACCTGTGTTCACTCATCTATTTAAAATCAAGTCAGTCAGTGTTTATATAGCCTGCCCTTGCCATATGATGCTTTTTTCCTTATATGCAATTCATGTCCCTAAAAACCATCTCCAAGCACCTCACTGTACCTGGACTGTGTCTGACATTCTTCACTCATCTACAAGGATAAACAAAGCCACCAGAGTTGGACTGATTTATTTTGAGAAGCCACCCAGGGAGGGATAAGTTTGGGGCTTTTTTCCAAAAGCCAAAACTATGCAACACATAGGGAAATTAGTTCACTAAAACACTGTCAGAAATTCAAAAAGAAAGAGATAAAGGACAAAGAACCTTGAGCTCCTGGGATTTTCACATTGGACAGCTAGGCTGAGTCCTGACAGCAAATCAGATAAGCCAGGCCTGGCCATCCTCACTCTCCCAGTCACCCAGTTCCCAACCCCTGACCCTCCTGACCTGTTCCTAAAGTTGTTTATTACTTATAAACTCCCAGCTTAGAAGAAAAGGGTGGAAGGTTCTCATTTGCAGTATAAATCTTGAAAGTTACAAACTTAGCAGCTGTGAGATCAGATTCAACCACAAGCCAGAATTCTTTCCTGTACAAGACCAGTGAGTTAGAATAGGTAACTTTAATCCATTTTTCTGTCCCCTCTTCCTAAGTCCAGAAAGGTGAGAAGCTGCTCAGAGGTACTGAGGGTGTCCCTTTCTCCCACAGCTCCCTTTTGAGATTTGCTCAGGCAACCAAGGACAAGTACGGCAGAAACACAGAATACGGAATGCTTTTGTATAGGCCATCTGTACATAAAAGTAATTATTTATTTAATTTCCCATTTGTATCATATTAAAGCTTTGTACAGTGTTTTAAGTTCTGTTTTAAAATTATTTTGTATTTTATTTTTATAATCTAGTAATAAAATATTCATTCCGCATGCAATTCTAGTTCTATCTGTGTGGTGACTTCTATTTCAAAACGGAATTTTTTTTTTCTGTATTTTAGGGAAGGGTCTACAGGGTGTTCAGGGTTTTAGATTGGACTCTTAGTGATTCTCCAGTTTACAGCCTCCCAAGTGCTGGGATTACAGGCGCTCACCACCACGCCCAGTCTCAATCAGTCTCAGCGCGCCCGGGGCAGGGCCGGCACAGCAGGCCTCGGGATCGAACCCCGGACCCCCTCACCGGCTTGCAGGCGCTTTAATCTGCTGAGTATTTGGCCGGCCCTGAGAAATATTTTCTAATTAAATAAAATTTTAAATGCACCACAGGTTATAAAAGTAGCTCGGAGCAGAAGGTGTTAGTGTAAAGCTCAAAAAAGGGACCAGAAGTGACCTACAAAAAACGCCCTGGGCTGAGTAGAAATAGTTGTTTAGTGTCTCTGTAGGTGAAAGCAGAGATGGTTTCCGTAACAGAATCCACAGCCCTACAAGCACCTTTTGCTTCCCCTGTCTCCCCTCTGGCTACAGACACTTTTTTTTTTTTTTCTGTAGAAAACCAGCGGTTGCTCTGAAGCGACTCCTGCAGTGCGGGAGGCGCCCACCAGGCAAGGCTGTCTCCACTGCTGTGTGATCCAAAGCATAGTTTTCTTTAGCTCATACTCCCTCTGTAAGCCTCTCACAGAGAACCAACACCCACAATGCTCAGTCTCAAAATTTTCAAAATAAGGGATAACTGGGTGTGGTGGTAGCATGCCTGTAATCTCAGCAGACAGGAGGCTGAGGCAGGAATATCATGGAGCGTTCCATGCCAGCTTGGGATCCGTAGGGGCTTTGAGGGAAGCCTGAACTACCTAGTGAGACAAAACCTGACTAAACGGCTACTCAGTAAAACCAACGACCAATCAATTGATAGGGCTGGAAAATGAACAGTGGGCTTTTCTGAGGTTAGGGTAACGCCGAATGGTTTTGGCCCACTTCCTAGGAGGGACGGTGTGCTTTGGCAGGAAGATGCAGGCTGGGTTTCACAACTGCTCACCTGCGCCGTCAACCCTCTCGCCGGCCGGAGGTTACCGAGCGGCGACAGCCAGGCAGCGGCCGGGATCCTCGCGGGAGTCAATGGGAACGGCGCGGACCGCCGGCTCCAGCCGGGCCCCGCCCCAGGCCCGCCTAGGCCCCGCCCGGACCCCG